GCTCCCATGCAGGACAGACATGCATCCCACTTCCAGTCAGCCTTGGCTCTGCCTGTGCACTGCAGGCCTCATGCACCTGAGTGAACTTGTCGGCCACCATGTAGCACCAGAACTTGTCCTTGGCCAACTGGTGCAGTGTGGGCATCACCAGGGCCTCCAGGGCCTCCTGGAGCAGGAGCTGGGCGATGTTCACACACGCCCCCACCACTAGCAGCCGCACGGAGTCCTGGGGAGCAGAGGGGTGCTGAGTGCCCCTCTGAGTGCTGAGGGGCAAAAGGGCAGAGGGCCCAGTGGCGGGATGGAGGGAGGGGCCAAGGAGGGGGGAGAGAAAGGGCAGAGCAGGGACCCACATGTTCATCAGAGGCTAGGTTGGAGAACATGGGGATGATCTCACTCTTGACATTGTCCAGCTCTAGGACCTTGGTGAACTCCCCCAGCTTGGAAGCTGTGGCCCGCTGCACCATGTGGGTGTCATCTGAGCAGAGGTTCCTGAAGTTCCTGGGGATCCAGAGTGGCACTGGACAGGAGGAACTCAAGGAACCAGGAGAGATCAGAGGGCGTGGACCGTTGGGCTCCATGGTTGCTGCCCAGGGCATTGAAGGCTTCATGCAAGATAGCAGGAGGAGGAGGAGGGGGGCCTTCGGCCAGGGCAGCTCAAGGGAGCAGCAGGTAGGGTTACTGCACATTCACGCACCCATGAGAGGGAGGGTACTGCCACTGAGGCCCAGCAGGTGAGCTGATCCGAGGGGACAGCCAGGAGAGGTGGGGCAGGCGGTGGCAAGGGAGCCCGGGACTCACTGGTGGAGTTCTGCCTTCACAGCGCCGGATGCTCAGGGGTAGCAGACGGAGAAGAGGCTGCAGGCCGAGGTGCGGGAAGTGAACCAGTCGCCCCCCCCCCCCGCTAGCCGTTTTACCAGGGGCACAAAGTGGGCTTCGAGGTCAGAGGGCAAGTGCTCGTGGGATATGGCCCACAAGCACTCCACCACCTTGTACCACACCACCGATCCTCCACAGTGGCCAAAGACTCCAGCGGGCTGCAGGGGTGGGGAAGGGGCAAGTGGCAATGATGATATGCTCAGCCCTCCAGCCCTGAGGCCATGCCCCTGGACAGCACCCCACCCCTCTACCATCCCAGCTCCATGGCTCCTGTCTCTGCCCCGGGGATGGGAGCAAGGCCCTGCATGCCACTCACCAGCAGGCAGTGCAATACTCTGGGCTCCCCAGCAGGCCGGTGAAGGTTCCCAGCTGCTCATCCAGGACCTGAAGGACCTCATCCTCAGTGTAGATGGTATCAGTAGGGGCAGGGCATTCCCATCACAGCACACTCAGGGGCCCCAGCACCCTGGGATCCCGGCCCCAAGATGTGCAAGCTTGCTGTGAGTACCCACAGTTTTCCCATATGGCCAGCACAGAAAACAAGATACGAGCTGGGGGTGGGTGGGGGAGCATTGCATGACAGAGCCACTCTACACCCCTCAGGGAGGGGAGACAGAGTCCATTCCTGTGCAACACTGTGGCAAGCAGATTTCCTGTTCAGGTACAGCTTACACTCTCAGCACTGTTCTCTGCCAAAAATCCTTTTCTATCTCTTCAGACTCCGTTCAGCTACTGCCTCCTGGAGACTTTGCAGGCTGTCCCCTCCCCCAAGCCTGCCTCCAACCATGGGCCCCTGTGCCCAGCTCCCACCTGAAGACAGTGCCAAGCCCAGCCACAGTCTCAGGCCTCAGGGTTGGGCAGGCCAGGCTGGGGCACAGGAGATCTTTGGGATTCTTCCTTTCTGACCTAGGACTTACCACAAGAAGTGCAGCATCCAGGGCTCAGAGCACCACCTCCAGAACCAAGACACTACACTACTGTCCTTTAAGATGCCAGCCTGGCATTTTGCTCTAGCCCACAATCATGCTGCAGTAATTGCTTTCAAAACCAATCCTACATGTTCTGCAGGTGTGAGGCCGAGGCTTCTGCTTTTCTGTTGGACAGCACCACCTTTTCCCAAAGACACGGCACCTGCCACATGCGACTGGAGAGGCTCCCAGGTAGCAAATCAGGAGAAGAAGGGACCTAACACCCCTTGGGGCTCTGACCCCACATGTCAGGAACCCAGGCGGCTCTTGGTCTGAAGCTACCACATTCCCCCCATCCCAAGCCCCAGTTCTTTCCATCCAGGCAGGCAGAACATTGTCTGATGAGACTGTCCTCACAGCTGACACTTAGGTGTTAAATGGACTGAATGCTCTCCATGTCTCTAGCACGAGTCACATGACTGTGTCCACCTGGCAGAGCTCGAGGCAGGTCTCAGGCTGGGAGTCTCACTCCAGGGTTGCGGCTGCCTTCCAGCAGACTTCCGAGAGGACATCCTGCCTCCACCTTCTTCTTCCTCAGCCTTCCCCTCAACACAGTCCTGCAGTACATAAAGCTTGTCTACCTGCCCCTCAGCCTCTGTACCCCATCAGGGCCCCTGCCGTGGGCTTCTCTTATTAAGCAGAAGCCATCTCCAGGCACCCCAACTGCACTGTGCCCCAAGAGTCCCCACCTGTAAGGAAGGAGAGGAGTTCACTTCTGTTCCTTTCCACTCCAAGAGTTAAGGCGATGGTGGACAGCTTGATGCTGTTCAGGTGAAGCTGAGGAGAGAATAAGGAGGGAGAATGTCAGTAATCCCAGACTCAAGGGAGCTCCACAGTGCTGGAAGTAGATGTTCAGCACACCCACCATGCCCTCCTCTGACCTGGAGCTCACAGTTCAATAGAAACAGTTTCTGAGTTCACGTAAGATCACACACGCTACCCACCACTGGATACTACACCACATACTCCACTTAGTAGCTGCAGCTGCATAGCATGCATGCATCCATGCTCTGGGCCAGGCCCTAGACAAGGCACAAACACCTGCGACCTCACTGAACCCTCAAAGCAATCGTACAAGGTCTGAAGCTGGCTCACAGTGTCAATCCTGTGAGGCCCAGCACAAGGCAGAACCTCTCGCCAGCTGACAGAGCTAAGAGGATGGCTGGCAGAGCAGGCATTTAAACTCAAGACATGTGACTTACGGTGATGATGAGAGAACAATAGGATACTATTACTACAAAAACAAAAGTCATGTAGGCTGATGCACACCTGTAATCCCAGTACTCAGCACACTGATGTGGAAGAATCGAGACTTCAAAACCAGCCTGAGGTACATAGGAAGATCTTTTCTCAAACTAACAATGACAAGAGAGGGGCAACCTCAGCCGTGTTTTGGGCAGCACCATGGGTGAATAAAAACCTGAGACTGTACAGGTGGGTCTGGGTAAACAGTTTCTGGCTCATTAACTCCCTCCTGAATGCAGGCCATAGGACCAGAGCTTGTTTTAGAAGAGGGCCATGGAACTACTGCGCCCAACGTTTCCATCTCAGAGCCATCACAGTAGAATCCTGATCAGTGCCTGATGGTACATCCCAACACCCGTTATGGGACGGGTCCAGCCCAATGTGCCAACAGGAGGGCCACAGGGTGCAGGTGGAGGCGCTGCTAGGCCCCCAGCCTGACCCTGTCTGCACCCTGTCACACCCTTTCTGCTTGATCACACTTTGACACAGTCTTCCAAATCCAATGAAATCTGCATTTAAAAAAAGTACAAAATGAGAGGGAAAAGCACAACATTAATCAAGTGTTGGAACTCCAGCACACACTTGAAGATCTCTCAGCAAGAGTAGATGCAGTTAAGGAAGAAACCCTGAACCGAAAATCAGAAGACCAAGTTTTTGGACAATATATAGAAAACCTCATGTCTGCTTCTAGTGTTTTCCAAACAACTGACATGGAAAGCAAAGGAAAGTAAGAGTTCCCTTCTAATTTACGGAATTGCTGCTTCTCTCTCCCTCTCTCTCCCTTTCCTTCTCTCCATCCCTTCCCCCACCCTCCTTCTATCTCCCCTTTAAAACTTGGGTAGATTCCAAACATTACAGTACCTTTGTTTGTGGCTTCATTGAATGTTTATGAAAATATTTTCAAATCTAGGCAAAATTAACTACTTAACAGGAGACTTCCATGAGTCTGTGTATTATGTTAGTCTAAGAAAATGTGCAGATGTGTTGTAGAGACTTTATAATTAGAACTGCATATGTTTATGAAACTTGAAAATGAATGTTTTATTGAATTTGCTTTGATACATAGGCTTAGTCTTTTACTACACACTTACTTAGTAAGATATACAAGAAAATAACCATGCTGTGAAACTGTGACCAAAATCATGTATTGAATGCACAGCTTTATGTATGTACCTGTTCACCATTGTGTGCCTCTCCCCCATCTGCCTCATCCTCCCCATTTACCTTCTCCTAAGTCAAGATAGTTTCACATTTGTAAAAGTACTTTGAGTAGTAATCACCTGACAGTAACCTAATCCGTAAGTCCTGAACTTAACCAAAACCTTGCCTAAAGTTTGTCAGTTGTACTTTCTAATAATAAGATAAGACTGATGGTTTCTCTTTATTCATTTGAAAACAGATTTGGGCTATAAAGAGGATTTTAAGTTGAAACTAAATTATCAAATTGAGATCTGTTTAAAAACAAAAAACAAACTTGCTTCTGCACCAAATAACCCACTTGCTATCTGAAAAGATAAGAATTTTGGTTATGGGCTGCGAAGGTGGCTCAGTGGTAGAGTGCTTGCCTTGCATGTATGAGGCCCTGGGTTCGATTCCTCAGCACCACATAAAAAAAGAAAAAAGCCGGAAGTGGCGCTATGGCTCAAGTTGTAGAGGGCTAGCCTTGAGCAGAAGAGCTGAGGGACAGTGCCCAGGCCTAGGGTTCAGGCCAGAATGCTGGATTGAGAATGTTGAGTTCCCTTGGCACCATGCAGACCTCAGTTTCCCAAGCCAGAGCCTCTGAATGAGACTCAAGGTACAGAGAAGATAGGAGATACCCATGTGTCTATGGGGGTGATCCTCTTAGGCCAGACTGTGGTTGGGTTTGTGGGTAATTTGTCTCTTCTCTCCCATTATCTATTCCTTTCCTTAATGGAGAACAGGATGAGAGCCACAGACTTGATTCTTAGGCACTTAATTGTAGCCAACTTCCTAAGTCTTCTGGTGGCTTTGGGCTGGAGAATTTTCTTCAATGATGTGGGGTGCAAAATGATCTTCTATCTTCACCGAGTGGGCAGGGGGGTATCGATCGTTAGTACTTGCTCCCTGAGCATCTTCCTTGCTGTCAGCATTAGTCAGGGAGACTCCAGGTGGGCAAGGATGAAGGGGAGAGCGCACAAGCACATTGTCTCCACCATCTACTTCAGCTGGGGGGGTCTTCCTCCTGCTGTGCATTGTTTGTCTTATGTACATGACTGGACCCAAAGCGCAGGACAACATGATGAGCTTCAAGGCCTATGGATACTATTCTGCAGTGTGTCATGACCTAGCTGCTGATGTGCTGCACGTGGCCATACTCTCGGTGCCTGATGTTCTGTGTCTGGGGCTCATGCTCTGGGCCAGCAGCTCCAGGCTTTTTGTCCTGTACAGACACAAGCAGAGAATGCGACACATCCAGAGGACCAGTTTCTCCACCAGAGCCTCTCTCGAGTCCAGAGCCACCATAAGCATCCTCCTCCTGTTGAGCGCCTTTGTCTCCTTTTATACCATGTCCTGCATCTGTCAGATTTGCTTGTCTGTGATTTACAACCCCAGCCCTGTGTTGCACCATATAGCGGAGTTTACTATGGGCTGTTTCCCATCCCTCAGCCCTTTCCTGCTCATGAGCAGACACTCTACTCCCTGCAGCCTCCTCTTCACCTGCCCAAAGAAGAAGAAAGTGGTACTCCCCTGAGGACCACCAAGCTTGCATCTCTGCTGAACTTTGCTTTGCCATTCAACCATCTCCACACCTAGAGATAGAGGTGTGCACACATGTCCACACATGCACTTTTGCGTGCTATATATCTGTGTGTGTGTTCATCTGTCTCTATTGTGCTGGCCCACAAAATTATATGAAAGTGGAAATGTTAGATTTTGAAATAATGCTTATTAGGTCACGTCAACTTCCTCCAGAGAATCTGCCCCATTAATTGGTAGTCGTGTCAAATTCAAGATAAACTGGTCAAACTCACCTAACGTGTTCCTAATTCCATTTTGAGTCTTTGATTTTTTTCTTTCTTTCTTTAATTGTTCCCTATGCAATGAAGCAAATCATTCCTAAAGCCCCTTCTGTTCTGGAGAAGAAAGTAGTTGGAAAGAAAATAACAGCTGGCAATTGTTTCTAACATATTTATAAGATGATTTCTATGTTACTTTGTATGTCCCTCCCCCATGGTATAACCCATGCTTTCACTGTATTTGATGTTAGTATAATTTGTGGAGGGGAAGGGAAAAAACAAATTGTTTAACTAGGGATACAGGTGGACCCATTGCAACAATGAGACATACAAGTCGTTATGTCGAAAAACGAACTTTACAACTTTGGTGTGGTGGGGGGGAATTGGGTTGGGGAAGGATGGGAGTATGGGAAGGGATTGGAAGGAGAAACAAAGAGGATTCAACAATGCTTGATAAGAAATGTAGTCGTTATCTTGCCCATATAATGGTAACTCTTCTGTAGGGTATTCTCACAATAAAAAGAAAGAAAGAAAAGAAAATAGCAGCTGGGTGTTGGTGATTGATGCCTGTGTTCTGAGTTCCTGAGGAGGTGAGATCTAAGGATCACAATTCAAAGCCAGTCTAGGCAGATAACCCTCTGAGACCCTCATCTCCAATAAACCACTAAAAAAAAAAAAAAAAAAGAACAAAGGAGGAGGCTACAATGCTTGATAGGAAATGTACTCATTATCTTGCCCATGAAATTGTAACCCCTCTGTACAGTATGTTCACAATAATAAAAAAAGAAAAAAGAAGAAAGAAAACATGGAGGTTGTGCTGTGGGTGAAGTGGAAGAGAGCTAGCCTTGAGCAAAATCACCCTAGGGACATAACGGAGGCCCAGAGTTCAAGCCTCAGGCCTGGCACAAAGAAGGAAAGAGAGAATGAGGGACACAGACACACAGACAGACAGAGACAGACAGAGAAGAGAGATTGCAAGCCAGCAAAGAAGAAGGAAGGAAGAAAGGGAGGAAGGGAGGAAGGAAGGAAGGAAGGAAGGGAGGAAGGAAGGAAGGGAGGGAGGAAGGAAGGAAGGAAGGAAGGAAGGAAGGAAGGAAGGAAGGAAGGAAGGAAGGAAGGAAGGAAGAAAGGAAGGAAGGAAGGAAGGAAGGAAGAAAGGAAGGAAGGAAGGAAGGAAGGAAGGAAGGAAGGGAGTCCTGCTGGTGTAGCTCTGACCACAAACATCAAGGCTTTTTCCTGACAGTTACTCCCTTAGTCTTGTCTGTGCTTATTTCTTCCACATAATATATTTTCACAACTCTTTCTTTTCCTTGGCAGTCTATGTTACATATCTCTAGACTCTTTGCTAATTGAACAAGGACCTTAAGTGTACTTTGAAAAGCACATTTTTTAATATAAAGTTGTTTTTAAAACACGAAGGCTCCTTGAGAAAGTCCCTTGCTTGGCTATTGTGACATTTCCTGCAGTGTTCCTCATGTCCCTTGTTATGAGGTCACTTTACCACAGCCTCTGGGGTGCAGGTCAGGGCTGCTGTGCTGAATGACAGGCAGGGCCCTCTGATCCAGGGCTCTCCACCTCCACCCTTTTCTTCTCTGGAATGAATATCAGGGTGACAGCAAGCCAGAAGTAGCACTGATGTCCCGGGGACAGTCACCAGCCCTGAGCACAAAAGCTCAGGGACAGGCATCAGGCCCTGAGTTCAAGTTCTGGGAACAGCACAGAAAAGGAAAGCAAGCAGATGGCAGGCCTGCCTCCAGGAACCATCCAGGGACTATGCTGGGTGTTGAGTGGACTGTGGGCTCTGAGCCAGGCGCCTCCTCCTGATCCTGAAATTCCCACAGCCACCCCACCACAGAAAGGCTTGAACCACAGCCCCTGCCGTCCCTGCACTCCCTCCCCCCACACTGGCTTTAGCCAGATTCTGTCCCTCCTCCACGCCCATAATCCAGCCCAAAGTCATTCTCCCAGCACAGGCGTGCTCTGGTCTCCTTGGGGAGCTGTCTGGTGTCATCATTAACCTCACACACACCTGGTCCTCTCCTGACCCCTGGTGCCCTGTCCTCAGAGGTCTCCCCATCTCTGTCACCTTGGAGAGTGTGGATGTGGACTTAGCCTCCTGACCTAGGGGCATCGTGCATCCTCCACTAGCTCCCTGCCTTCTGAGGGGACGCAGGCTTTTCCTGCACCCACCCCACCCCCTCTCAGCACCCGGTCCCCAGGAGCACTCCACCCTCCACCTGCCTGACACTCTGTCTTGAGGATGATCCAAATCCAAGACAACCCTCCCCCCAGGCTTCCCCTCCCCCACAGCGCTCAGCAATGCTCCACGTGCTTTTTCTCTTTTTTTTTTTTTTTTTGGCCGGCCATATGGCTTGAACTCTGGGCCTAGGTGCTGTCCCTCAGCTCTTCAGCTCAAGGTTGTGGTCTGCACCCCACCCACCCCTGCAGTCCACTGGAAGCACAGCCGCCTGTCCTCATGCTGACATGCAGCCCTGCCTGGACTCGTTACTTCTGGAGAGTTCGCACTTTCAGGATGTCTCTCTCCATCTCTGTCTCCTTTTTTCCTGAGCACCCTCAGTTCTGCGCCACCATTTTTATGAATCCCTTTCCTGTCTCCTGTGTCCTTGCCACGCCATGGCCAGACACCTGACTCCTGCTCCCCTGCCGCACACCTGCCAGCCACAGCTCACAGCCAGCTCCTGACTTGGCTTCATTCACAGCAGCACCTGGTGACTATGCTCAATATGAAGGAGGGATGAGACAAACTCACCTCTCACGCGTGGGGATGACTTGAAACTCCAGACAAAGCCTTTCAGGAAAAATGGGTTGTGACACAAAGGTGTGATTCAGCCTGTGAACTGGCTGAGAGGTCAGCTCCCTCCCCCCACCCTGCATCCTTAGCTTGGGGGCTCTGGGCCCAGCCCCTTGTGCACCTCCTGCTGGTAGAGCAGGCCACACTGTGGTGGCTATCCTCACAAAACCACCAGCCTGGCGAATCATCTTCCATTGCAATCAAAACAGCAGAATCCAGAAGGGCCAAGAAAGTCCTGGGGAGATTTTGGGGGGAAGGACTTATGCCAGGTCAGATCTGGGAGTAACCATTGACTGACACCTAGCACAGGCGCCATCGGACTTCAGTTCCTGGTTCAAACCCAAGTCCTGGCATGATGGTGGCCACTATTGCACACTGCACACACCTTGCCTTGTCAGGTCTCGGCCGGACTGTATCTACCTTCCCATTGCTTCTACTTCAGTAAAATACCTAACTACTCACTTCTTACAGCTGATAGTGTGTTGGCCGAGAAACCTTTAAAGCAGATGGATCCTTGGTATAATGACTTTTGCAGGGGGGTAGGAATCAGTAGTGGGCTTGAACTCATGGTCTGGGTGCTGTCCCTGAGCTCTTTTCCTCATGGCTACCACTCTACCACATGGAGCTTAGTGCCACTTCCAGTTTTCTGGTAGGGAACTGAATAGTCTCCTGGACTTTTCTGCCCAGGCTGGCTTTGAACTGTAATCCTCAGATCTTAGCCTCAGTAGCTAGGATGACAGGTGGAAGCCAACAGGTGTCCAGAGTCTTACTCTTCAAATTGTCCAGGACTGGTTGAGCCACACTTGCAATTATGGGTGGACTGTAATGTGGGCATGGTGCATGATCTTTCAATGCATTGTTGAAATTACTTGCAGGTATGTTATGAAATATTTTACATCTGTGCTCTTCAAGGAAATAGGTGTCTAATCTTGTCTCTAGTCTGTTCTCATTTTGGTATGAGACTGAATTTCGTAGCATTCTTTCTTTCCTAGTTTTTGAACCTGTCTGAGGGACATTGGTGATAACTCTGAACACCTGGTGTAACCCAGCAGTGAATTGATATAGTGCTTGATTACAGATGAACTTATGTGATTAAAGTCAAATTGGATCAAACAGGATGGGTCCTACCTGCAAAGACTGAATCCATTCCTTTTATGTTTTCTAATGTGTTAGACTAATTTTCTAATATATTCCCCAGTGACAATTTGAATTTAAACTGTTATGATATTCTAGGTTTCTTAGTTGATGCCTTCACTGTTCTTGGATGAAGGCTTGTCAGTCTTAGCTATCAAGGAAACTTCTTAACTTCACTGATTTATTTTTGTCTGTCCTGAAGCTTGAACTCTGGGCCTGGGCACTCTTCCTCAGCAATTCAGCTCAAGGCAGGCACTCTATCACTTGAGCCATAGTTGCCACATCCAGTTTTCTGGTGAGATGAGTCTCATGGACTTTCCTGCCTCGGCTGGCTTTGAACCATGATCCTCAGATCTCAGCCTGCAGAGTAGCTAGGATTACAGGCGTGAGCCCCCAGGCCTCCACTTCTTTCACTGATTTTTTTTACACTGTTCATTTAATCTCCATTTTTTTTTCATTTTTACCCTTATATGTGTGTGTGTGTGTGTGTGTGTGTGTGTGTGTGTGTGTGTGTGTGTGTGTGTGTTTATATGTGTGCCTCTCCTAGGGCTTGAATTCAGGGCCTGGGCACTGTTGCTAAGCTTCTTTCGCTCCAGGCTAGTGCGCTACCACTTGAGCCACAGCTCTGCTTTGTACATTCTGGGGATAGTTTATTGAAAATGAGCCTTGTGGGGCTGGGAAGGTGGCTCAGTGGTAGAGCTCTTGCCTTGCACGTGTGAGGCCCTGGGTTTGAATCCACAACACCACATAAGCAAAAAGAAAAAAGCCGGAAGTGGCACTGTGGCTCAA